TGGAGCAAACCTTCTGTGGCTGCCGAGGATGGGGGGGGAGGCTGAGGCGTCACACACCTCGACTCCTCGCTGACGCTCAGCTGCACAGACACCTCACTGGAGAGGCCCCCAGCCCCGCCGCCAGCGGATGCAGGGGAACAGTTGCACGAAGGATGAGGGGGACCCCCCAAGGGAGGTGAACTGCTGGGCAGCTGACCACTGCTGCTGCTGCTGCTACTGTTGGAGACGGCCGTGCTGGCCGTTGGGTGTTCGCTGTGCTCTCTGTAGATGCCCCCGCAGTCTTTATAGGGAGTCTGTCCCTCTCGCTGCTGCGTCCACGCAGCATACGTATTCTCATCTGCTGCTGATGACCCTCCCCCCCTTTTATTTTTCATTTCTTCGGTTTCAGTTTGTGCCTCGTTGCCTTTGCTTCTGCCGCATCCCTCATATACACCCCAAGACGAATGCAATTCGTGGGCACAACGTCTCATGCGTGTAGGCGCTGGCCTGCTGGCAGAGGCAGTATATTGATCAGGTATGGGGGCAGATGCGGACAGGCTGCGGTATGCTGCGCAGTGCTGCCCTGCCGCTGCTGCTGTAACGCTGCTGCTGCTNCAGATGCGGACAGGCTGCGGTATGCTGCGCAGTGCTGCCCTGCCGCTGCTGCTGTAACGCTGCTGCTGCTCCTGCTGTAGTTGCCACGGAACGACGCTGTAGAGGTTTGTCGGAGCGCTGCAGCGCGCACAAGGCCATCCTTTCCCCTGTGCTGGGGAAGGGGGCCGCGTTCATCTTTGTTTGCTGCAGCATGATATGCTGATGATGCTGCTGCATCTGTATGCAGCGCCCCACAAGGCCTGCGATGCAGGCCGCCCTGGGCAGCCCGGCTACTCAACTCACCGGGGTTCGATGGGGGCCCCTCAAGGGAAGACGAATTCGTTGTTCCTCTGGGGGCCCCCTTTGCACAGAGCATATTCTCTGAGGTCTCGCTGTCTACGTTAGTGCTGATTCTGCTTGCGTGGTGAGCCTCCCAGTTCCCAGGACGGGCCGATGGTGCCGTTGTTGCAGCAGCAGCAGCAGCAGCAGCAGCTGCTGCTGCTGCTGCTGCATGCCTTGCGTCTTTGTCTTCTCCGTAGTTCGTCTTTCTGTGCAGCGTTGCAGCAGCGGAAGCATCAGAAAGCGAGTAATATCCGACTGCTGCTTCAGCAGAGTGGCTTGAGGCTGTAGGCGCCGCGGATATGCCTCCGTGGGTCTCATGCAAACAGCTGCTGCAGGGGTCGTGGGCAGGGAAGCCCAGTGTGTGTTCTTGTTGCTGCTGCACTTTCTCCTGAGCCTGTCCGCAAGCTGTGCATTTGTAGTGCGAGCTGCAAGGTTTTAGGGTTTGTGAATTTGTTGCATTGAGCGCGCAGTTGGGGGTGGTTCCTTGCTGCTGCAGCGGATTCAGGTGTCTGTACATCTGTTCTTCTTCGCGGTGTGCATGATCTCTGCCAAGAAGTGCAGCTGATCCCAAGCCACATCTCTCCTCCCTGCTGCTGCTGCTGCTGGCGATGCAGCTGCGTGTTTGTCTGTAATCTGCAGGTTGCCCTGCTGACCAGCTGAGGTTGAGGGTGTGCAGTGTGTTCGACTCCTGCTGCCTCATCCTCAGCAGACGTTCTGCACCGCCGTCTTGGCTTAAACAGGTTGGCTGTGAGCAGTGAGACATACAGGGGCTAGCAGCAGGCAGCGAGGCACATATACCCCTTCTACTACAGCCCATTTCCTGACAAGAGGCAGAAATATCCGTCTTTGCATTTGAATGCAGCTCTGCTTGCATCTGTGACGGCTCATGGAGACTGCTTAAACGCAGAGGAAGAGTGGGTGTTGTAGTCTGCTCCTGATTGTACACAGAAGCTACGCTGCTCTCCCCAAGAGGCTCCCGAGAGCCCCCACCAGGCTGCTGTGCAGCGCTGAGTTCGGGCGGGGGTTGAATGAGTTCTGCAGTGCGATGCACAGGAAAGAAAAGTATTATAAAAGTAACACTTTATATTTCGTCCTGTAGTTGAAGTAAAAAATTTCTGTGAAGGTTCTAGGGATGTGTTTACCTTCATAAAACGTTATAAAACGTTATTATCTTATGAATGTGTATTGTTCTAAAAAAGTATTTCTCCCCCCATTGCATGCATGCATGAACACGACTGTGGCAGCAAATAATGATAGGAAAAAATATATACAATGCAGTATAGTTTTGCTAGAATGTACTATCTTTTAATATAATATATACAATCAGATATAGTAAGGGAAAAGAAAACAGGAAATGGATATATACCTGTTGTGCACATTTCGCCGATAGGTGAATGGCTGTTCGTCTTCTGCGGTGACAGCTTCTGAAACTGATCTGAAACAGCACAGCAGCAGGCATGTGGTGTATACGAGTTTAGGTATTTGTGTTTGTGTCTTTTTCTTTGTACTGACGAGCAGAAAAGAAAGATACAGCAGGCGACTTCAGGCTGGAGCTCAACAGCCAGCATCAACGGATAGGCAGACAAATATGCAAGGAGGAGTAGTAGACTTGCATTCGTCAATTGAACACAATTCATCGCTTTCCGTCTTAGTGCCTTCAATTGCTTGAGTCGAGCAGAGCTGATCCGTCACCTGCAAAGCGCGCAGCAGCATTTTTTAATGTTTTGGGGTTTACAGTTTTGTGGGTCATGGGTTAGGCACTACGGGGAAAGCGGGTGAAGGCGGGGGGTGAACCCTGCGCGACGGGTTTGGGGTCACCTGTTTAGGGTTTTGGGTGTATGCTCCTACCTGTTCCGTGGCGTCTTCCTTTGGATCTATCTCTGAAAAATTCTTGAGGGGTTCCTCCAGAAGTGGTTCTTCTCTGGGCGACTGCGCATGCGTTTTGTTTGTTGCCTTCATGTTATCCTCAATATGATGGGGATAAACAAGCCGAAGCAGAAAGGCCTTTTCCTCTCTCTCCGTTCGCAGATCCGCATAGGCGGCATCTAGTGCCTGACATACATACCTCAAAAAACAGGAACTAATTTCAGTTCGTAGGAAATTCGTTTGTTCGTCTGCAGTGTCAGCTTTCTCCTCTTTGTATCCTTCTGTATATGCAATGAGGCAAAGTAAACCCCAAGACTGCATGCACCTACGAGGGCTGTGCGTGCTGCCTTCGCCTCAAAGTGAGCCTTTGATTTGCGCAGAACCTCAAGACGTTGCGCGAGCTTCAACAGCTCTTGCTGCTGCTTCTCACTTTGCTGTTGCACCTGCATGTGTTGCTGCTTCAGCTCCGTTAGCTCAGTTTGTAGAGAGCGCAGCTGCCGTTCTGAGTATAACAGATAAAGTGCAACAATACGCAAAAAGCATAAACGTGCTAAAGCTTCAAAGCCCCTCAACCACTCCCACCAAACCCTTCTATCCCAATCAAAGCAA